GCACAGCACTGTGAAGCTGTCTGCAGCCTCTGCAGCACAGGTTCCATTCCTGGCTAGCCAGGGAGATACCCACATGGCGCAGCAGCCCTCTCCTGTCACGGCTGCTGCTCCCCTCAGCAGTGCTTTCAATCTGTCTGCCTGTTCTGCTCTCCTCTCTGTCTCTGGTGAATCCTCTCACCTCTGACCTGTACCCCAGCTATTGTATAAATAAAATAAAAATAAAACTCTAAAAAAGAAAAGACAGTGGTTCTCAAAGAGGAACCTCAGAACAGAGCCTCCCATCATCTGGGAACTTGATAGAAATGCAAATGCTCAGCCCCCTTCCCACCTGGGGAGCTAGAATCATCTCTAGATGATTCAGATGTGCACTACAGTTTGAAGACTAGTGCTTTAAGGCATGATGTTCCCCTAACTGCACCTCCTCCTCTGAAACAAAGCAAATCACCTGACCTCCTAGCGCCATGTTCCATATTCAATGGAATTGGAAATGATCTTTGCCCGCAAGATCTCTTTCCTCAATGTCTTTCAGATATTCTTTGTTCTTTCTTATTCTTATTTCCACTTCTGTCTTCACACATGACTAGAGGTAGTTTAAGAATGTTCAAGTCAATTAAAAATAGCTCTCCTGTTCTCCTAAGTTATTTTGTCTCTTATGAGGAAACTAAATATGCCCCATACATTTCAGGAAAACTGATTGAATATACCAGCCAACTCCTGCTGATGGTGCTTCTGGTGTCCTTAAGCTACCAGCACTTTCTTTTTTTTGAGAAGTAGATCACATCTTTAACTTTAGCAAGAGAATGCTAGAGTCAGGCTGTCTGAATTTTAATTCCCTGCTCTGATAGTTCCTGTTAGGGACTTTAGGGGAGCCCTGAGCCACTCTGTGTCTGCTTCTTCACCTGTAAATCATGGACAATAATAGAGCATAGTTATGAGGATCAAATTACTTAATAAATGGACAATTCTTACCATTGTGCCAGGCGCACACTAAATACCATAGAATTTTAGACATTATCTATAGCTAATGAATGTTGTCTTATCAAGGACCAAGAATTAGGGTGAGTTTGGAATGTCAGACTTTTTAATACCTGTGTTTTCAAGTTTCTTTACCTTCTTCATGGATTCCCCCTTACTGAACACCAAAATTCTCTTCCGCATGCTTCTTGTTTATGAGACTCCAGGACACAACCATAAATAACAGCAGGAAAGGAGCCAGGTTGGACGAACACCTGCACATATTGCTGAAGTCCTTTCCTTCCTCCCAGTATTCAGAGAAGAGTGTAAGAATCCTATTGTGGCAGGTAAAAAAAGCAAGAAGAATAGCAATTATACTTTCTTTGCAAGTGTAAGTGAGAAAAGTAGCTATTAACCACCAATGAATGATGATTCTTTCTGCCAAGTTTCTTTGTCACTTTCTAGGTGCTAAGGCTTAGGGATCAGGGATCCAGCTTTTCCCCACTCAGAGAGCTGGCTTTGATCCAGAACTCTTTCCCCTGGCACTCTAGGCCCACACATGAGGCACTGAAAAGAGTCAGGAAGGTGGGCTGTCACCCACCTGGGTTATGGATGTGTGGAACCTTCTGCTGGCCTATGACTGTGGGGCAGAGCCCTGAGAGTGTATTGTGTCTCTGAAGGGTGCAGTTGAAAGAATGTGTTTCAAAGTTAGTCCTTGTTAGAGCCTGTGGTCATTTGAACGGTCTCCACACACTCCCCACTTACAGTTGTAGGTCTAAGACAAGGGTAAATATCGTTTTAAGAAAATACATTTCAAGAGCTCAAATTTTCTAGCATCAATCTTCCTGAGAAAGTACACAAGATTGGGTTGTAATTCTGATTTTCCTTTCTGTCTACTCTGTACATACAAATTGCCCAAGAGAGAGTTTTCCTTTCTTTCTTGGTCAATTTGACCACCTGCCCAGTAACAGACAGGGCGTTGCTCTTGAAGGAGAGTCCCACAGAAGTGGAACAGAAAAGGCCTGCAGGCAGTGACACATTGCTTCATCAGTCATAAATTCAGAGAAAGCTGGCACCTTCTTTCTCTTGGAATTAGAACTTAAAGAAAGGAAAGCAATTTTGACAGAGGGTAGTGTGATGTGGCAATTAAAATAAACACTATCGGGCCTCCCCTGGTGGCACAGTGGTTGACCGCTGGGTTTTGAAGCTGCCTGAAGCCTCTGCAGCGCCAGTTCGGTCCCTGCCTGCCGGCGAGGGTCCCACATGGCACGCAGACCTCTCCTGCTGCACTGTTCCCCTCAGCAGTGTATTTCGTCACTCTGCCTGTTCTGTTCCCCAATCTGGCTCTGGTGAATTCTCTCACCCTCCCACGCTTCTGACTGTACCCAGTGCTTGAACAAATAAATAAATAAATATTTTTTAAAAATAAAATAAAATAAACACTATTTTGATTTCCCCATCTGAGAGTTTTGGGGTAAACACGGTTCTTCTAAATAAAAGAGTAAAATCATCCTTACTCATTTAATTAGACCTGGTGAAACATTAGCAGTGTACTAGCCAAACATTAAGAATAGAATCAGTTTAATCCAGGGCTAGAAAACCCACTACAAGTCAGGTATTTTCCAATTCATCACTTTAAAATAAATGAAAAGATGAGCTAATTGAATTGTTGGTTGTGCTATTATAAAAATAATTTTTGAAGCTATAGTGTATGTGATTTTTGGCATATACCTTGGAAGGGGTTCAAAGAATTGATTGACATAGGTATATAAGATTTTTATTTCCATCTCCTTGCTTATGTGAACTAGGTTTCTTTTTTTTTTTTTTAAGATTTATTTATTTACTTATACAAGCACTGGGTACAGTCAGAAATGCGGGAGGATAAGAGCATTCACCAGAGTCAGAGCGGGGAGCAGAACAGACAGACTGACGAAGTACAATGCTGAGGGGAGCAGTGGGCGGCAGGAGAGGTCTGCGCGCCATGTGGGACCCTCACCCGGTGGCCAGGGGTCGAACCGGCGCTGCAGAGTCTGTGGGCAGCTTCGCAGCCCAGTGATCAACCGCTGCGCCACCGGGGAGGCACTGAACTAGGTTTCTTTCAATGCAAAAATAGAAATGGAATTGATCTTGAGCTTTATATCATACTAGCAGTAATGATATTTATCCATGGTATAAAAAAAATGCCTCATCTATACCATTAGGAGCTGTATTTCCAGTAAAAGTTTACTTTTTATATTTAATTATTACTTAACAGCATGTACAATCAATATATTTATGCTGTTTTATCAATATTAGCCTTGTAATGATAACTCATTCTAAAAGAAAATATTACTTAGAACTATAGTCACAGAACATAAAATAAATTTAAATTTGTGTGTGCGTGTATATATGCATAAATATGAAAGCTGATCAATAAAATACTTTCAAGCATAAAATAGCATATTAGGATAAAATCCTGCAGAGCACATAGGCTGGAATTACAAGCTTAAGTTTTAAAAAGGAATGATGTACATCTTGTGATTGTCAAAGCAGAGTTTGTTCATGAATTTTGAAAATAGATGATCGTGAATCGCAAATCGCTATGGTATTTAAATTCTACTGAACATATATATGTAAAGGAATATTTTGACACTTTAATTTTAAAATATGAATATTCTCAAAAGACCAAAAATATGTTATTTACAACAACTGAAATCTTTAAAAAAATATGTTCACTTAAAATGATTTAAGTGGTTCCATAACTGATAGGTAATTTGCACCTTGTCACCCAGGTATGTGTGGTCTCAGCATCTGAAAGAAGACGGCTTTCACTCTGTCCCTGGTTACCCCCAACATCCAGGCTTTCTCATTCCTGGACCTATATAATTGGGGCTTCATCATCAGGAGTTATTCAAACAGGGATTTAGTCTTTATAAAAAACCAGTCGTGAATTAGTTACAATGGAAAGACAAAGAATGAGTTATCAGATTTATTCCCTAAGAAATGCTTTTGAAGGTGGGAGCAGGGAGGGTCCATTAGAACTTTTACCTTCAGAAGGGAAATGGAAAGTTGCTGTAAAGGCAAAATCTGTGCAGAAAGCTTGGGCCCTAGGCTGTAGAGGAAGCCATGTGACTTCAGTTTTTCTCTCTAGTAATGGCACATCTGTCAAGGTGGGCAAAAAAAAAAAAAACACTTGATGGTACCTGACCTCCAGGGCCCAGGGGTGAAGGCCATTAGGTAGAGGTCTTGCCCTTGACAAGAAGACATGGCCAACGTGTTCTTTCTCCGGATAGGGAAAGGAGTGGGAGAGGTGGCAGAAGCTCTGCCTGACTATTTTCTTCTTCCCTTTCTTGAAATGTCATGAGTTCCCCATGACTTCCTTAAAATTATCTGGCTTGTAAAAATAAATTCGAACAATCCATGTTATAAACTGTAGTTTGCAGACTTTGGGTAGATTAAGGGTACAGGGAGATTATCAGCACGAGGGAAGTCTGAAGGTAAATATGTTCAATTTTTTACTACCAACAAGTTAAGTATTTGCTCCATGGATTATCTGTGACCTATTTGAAATACAGATCCACTTTCTCTCCCCCTGTGCCCCCAGGCCACTGCTCCCACAAGATGGTAAATGTGCTCAAGAAATATAAACTAATTTTCATATAAGCCTAGGGGGAAAATAGAATGGAAAGCAAATATACAGCAAAGTTATTCATGTAACATGTACTGAAATCAAATAGAAATGATTTTGCATCATGGTTCTTCTGGATGATTCAGACCACTGTCCCCCTGTATTTGAAACTTTGCATCTATAATTAATTGTTTCCCTTTAGCACTGGATTATATTGTTTCATTACTCTTCCAAATACAACAACCACATTTATAATGTAATCTCCCAACACTCTTCTTCCCTCCTACCCTTCTTCAATGTCCCTCTCCTTCTTACTTCCTCCCTCCTCTTGCCTGCCCCCCTCTCTCCTCACTGCCTCCCCCCTTCTCTCCCTTTCCTTCTCTTTTACCTCTCCTCTCCATGCCCCTCCCTCCCTCCTCCTTCCTGTCCTCCCTCACAGGTGTACCATAGACGATCGGGTCACCCGGGTGGCCTGGTTGAACCGCAGCACCATTCTCTACGCCGGGAATGACAAGTGGTCCATAGACCCTCGTGTGATCATCCTGGTCAACACCCCAACCCAGTACAGCATCATGATCCAGAACGTGGACGTGTACGACGAGGGCCCGTACACCTGCTCCGTGCAGACAGACAACCACCCCAAGACCTCAAGGGTGCATCTCATAGTGCAAGGTGAGTGACAGCTGGACTGGGAGGCTGGTATTCCTGTCAGTGATGAAGCAAAGCAGCATCCTTTGTCATTATCCCCTGTAAAACCCAAGAGACTTAGGTATCCTGGTTCTACCCCTGCTGGATTCTTGACTAAGGACTGAGTAGCTTCGCAGTGTCTCAAGTTTACCTGTGACCCTCTGGTCTCATGATTGAGTTGTTTGGTATTTGCTGCTTGAATTCTCTTATCTTACTTATCACACTGGAGTTTAGACAAGAAATATTCCCAAATAGACCACAAGACCATCTTATTCTCTGTGTCTTTTAGTATCTTTCAGAGGCTGTTTTTCATAAAAGTGGTTTGTAATATTGATGTGTAAGTCCTGGAACTTGTGACCATTTTGCATAGTTGATGGCCGTGCGTGGGCGGGAAGTGGCTCTGAGTGCTGTTCAGCAGGTCCACCTCAGCTTCATGGCTGTGGTTATGCCTCACTCTTAACCCTACAATGGAGCCCAGATCAATAACATTATCAGTCAAAATGATATCGCCAAGTCTATGTTGGAACTAAGTCTATATAATTAAAAAAGGGGGAGATTTCTGATCTCTTAAGGCCTCATACATGGAGCCCCTGTGTGTGATGTAGCCCCTGTGTGTGATGTAGCCCCTGTGTGTGATGTAGCCTTTGGTACTGCCTTTTACCAGATCCCATCCACAGCCACTTTGATGCCTGTGTTTTCAGTTTGTGAATTGTTTATGGCATCCTTGCTCAACTAACATGGATTTCCTCACTCCTGCCTTTCTAAACTTAAGGTTTTGTTATTTTCGGTGGGTCACCTGGAGAGTTTGTGGCAGGCTTAGTGTCTATTTGGGCTTCAGCCATTGTACAGTTCAGGAGTGATGTTCTTGTGGCTAGAACATTCTTCCTTGCTAGCACAACACCACGGTCCCTGCTCTATGGGTCATTTAATTTTTTATTTTAATTTTGGGAGTTACATTTTTGCTCTTCCATAGTGCATATGTTTTAATCACTCTCCACCAAAGCACCTCCAACAATACCACCTGTGCGTCCCTTCCCTCTCCTACTCCCCACCCCTGTGTGCCCTCTGGTAACCATTATCTTCTTTCACTGAGTTCAAGAATTTGCGTTCATATTAGTGTATGATTTTTAGATATTTATATTCTGACTATGAGTTAAACCAACCTATATCTGTCTTTCACTTTTTGACTTACTTCATTTAACATAATCACCTCGAGGTCTACCTATTTTGTCTCTGTGGGTCATTTGAAATGACCCATGCAGACCCAGAGGTCTGTCAGCTGCATCTTCCTCTCTCTAGCAGTTCTGAGCCGCCATATTGTTTACAGACTTGCCTCAGTGTATCCTCCCAGCCTTTCCGTGCTTTAAACACCCACATCAGTCTGCCATGCAACAGATGTCTATATATTCTGCTGTTTCCGTTCTCCATACATGTGCTGCCCAGGGGTATGGCTTGGTGACGATCACTGGTTTGGAGCTACAAGATGGTCTGCCATCTGGAGAGAGAGGCAACTGTCACGTCAGATGCTTCTCCTTAGAGGGCAGTGGAGACCCTTGGGAGATCAGTCATCTGAGAGGAGCTGGAATGTCTGTTCAAAGTATGTTGGGAGACATAAAACAAGGGAGAGTGAGTTCTCACTACCCTCCTACCACCTGGGCTGCGTTCCAGTGGAGCTGAAATTCGCAACGTTGGAAGTGACGCCTCCGTGGCACCCCAGTGGCCTTGACAGCAAAGTTATCTTCAAATTCGGGAAATGCAGCACTGAAATGAAAAAGAACTGTCAGGCACTGCACAGAAACAGACTTAAACAGAACAAGGCTATCACCTTTCAGGAAAGAAGACAGATTGTGTACGCAAGTGGAAGTCAGTACAGACCATGACGAGTGATCAGTGCCGGCCCTGGGACAAGTGCTCTTCACAGGCGTGGCGTGTGCCCTGTACTGCCCGTGGGGATGGTGGGGTTTCCCTGTGGACCTACAGTTTTGGGTCAGGAAGGGTCTGAGAACAAGGGAGAGGCAGAGCCCCAGACTCCGGAGGTCAGTTCCTCGTCATTGCCACATTCAAGGCCAAGTGACTCTTATAGTTTGGGCATCTGAGGTGTCCTGTGAAGTCCAAATTTCAGCCGTCGGGGAGGTCAGAAGAGTTAGCAGAGAGACGCCTCTTAGACACTTAGCAGACGCGTCTTTGCATTTACTGAGGGCTGGAAGAAGCTTGGGGAGCTGCATCTCTTCTGTCTTGGTTAGCAGTGTGTGTGGGGGGGGGGTGGGGGGATAGTGAGGGAAACATGTTCCTTCTTTGGAATCCAGTTGAATTTGTGGTGTGTGGAAGCAGAGACCCCGGCACTCAATGAGAAAGAAGCACAGGAGTCCTCCTTCTTCCCAGCAGTATCGGCTTTTGTCCAGTCTATAGATTAATTTTTCAGACTTAGTGTTAGTTCAGGTTAGATAAAGATAATGAAAGTTTCCTAATCCTCTTAAAGAAGATTTATCTGACTGAGTAGAAAGCTTTTGGAATACAATAAGGCATGTATAAAACTGAGGCCTAATCTTGCCTTTAATTTCAAACTGCTGATGGGTATTGATTTTGCAATGAGAAAAACTGAAAAATTTCCGAACTGCAAGTTGTCTGTTAAAAAAAATAGTGTTTATTTATCTTCTGTCCATTTGAAAACATTAGAATTTCTTACCTCTGCCATGAAATTGCCATTAGCTGAAGGGAAGGCAATCCCACGGGGTCCCCACTTTGTTGTTCCCAGCTTCTGCAGCATGAGGGCCTGCGAGATACTCTTCCACTCACGTCCGAGCCTGGCCTTTACTGTTTGATAAGGTGGCCTTGGCCACATGTTTGAGAGAATTAATTCCAACTCCTTCTCTTGGAGCAAAGAAACTGCCTTCATTAAAATACTATCCGGGCCTCCCTGGTGGCTTAAGGGGTTAAGATGTAGCCTGTAAAGCAATCCACAGCCACTGCAGCACAAGTTCGATCCCTGGCCAGGGAGGTGACACACATGGCGCAGCAGACCTTTCTTGTCTCTCTTGTTGCTCCCCTCAGCAGTGTATTTCAGTAGATCTGCCTGTTCTGCTCCCTACTCTGTCTCTGGTGAATCCTCTCACCCCCCCCCCGGTACCCCAGTTAGTGTACGCATAAATATATAAAAATATTTTTAAAAATAAATAAAATAAAATACTATCTCTGATACCTAGATAACCTAGATACATCTTAGCCACCTCGGGGATCATTTCTAGGCACCATGTGAGTGTGTGACAGTGTAACTCAGACTTTACATCTAGTTAAGCAAACCCAGAACAAGGGCAGGAGTCGCCAAGGGGTCAGGTAAATCAGGTTAGCAAATCATCCTGTGTGGGATGGGTGATGTGTAGAGAAACTGGACACATGAGGACATGCAAAATGTTACTCTTCCTGAAAAGGTGTGACAGGAGTGAGAGGTAGTTCTTAGAGAACATTCCTCCAAGAGATATTGTCCAAGGGAAAAATGAGGGAATTCATCCTTATGCTTCAAAAGATGAAAAATTAGGGGCCTCCCTGTTGGCTCGAGGGCCTAAGTGTCAGCGCTATGAAGCAATCTGCAGCTACTACAGCACGAGTTCGATCCCTGGCCAGGGAGCTACCCACATGGTGCAGCAGACCTCTCCTGACTCGCCCACTGCTCCCCTCAGCAGTGTATTTCAGTCAATCTGCCTGTTCTGCTCCTCACTCTGTCTCTGGTGAATCCTCTCACGCCCCACACTTCTGGCCTATATCCCAGTTCTTGTATGCATATATAAATAATTTTTTTTAAAAAAAGATGAAAAATTAAAAGACATTGCCCACAATCCTGAGTTTGGGGAGATATTGAAATGTTTGCCTTGTTAGTAATTATGGAGCTAGGATTCTGGGCCTCCAGGAAAGGAAAGCGTTTGGCTTGCAGGGTACAGGGGTAAAGACACCACAAGCATTGCTCAGATATTATAGAACGAAGGAGCAGGTGTAACTTAAAACCCAAAGGAATATTTTTGAAATTCTTCATGAATATTAGCATGAGAGTAGGTAAGTTTTCTGAGATTAACTATTCCTGGAGAACAGCAGGAGCTATCATTTATTTATATCTCTCCCCAGCACACAACACACTGTCTGGGGCATACCACTCAGCATTAGCAAATGTGTGTAAAATGAACAAAGAACAGATTGATGCAGCAATGACATGGCACTCCAAGGTAGCAATCACAAAGCCCTTCAGCAGGTAGGGCTGGGAATGAGGCGGTCACTGTCCAGAGGACTTGGAGTGGACAGAAATTGGGAACAGTTCCCTGGAGGCATCTTCCGTGTGACAAGTTAAGTGATATGTTATCAGAGGAAGAACATGAATTTGTGCATTTATTTAGTAATTTACAGCATCATCACAATTTTGGTCTCATTTAACCCTCACAACAAGCCCTGGGAGGCTGCAGAGCAGTGACTGCTGGCTCCATTTTGCAAATTAGATAACTGCAGCTCATGGAGGTGAAGAGAACAGCCAGGGTCCCCTGTGAGTAAGTAGCAGAACTGGGTCTTAAACCTTGGTCGTATGATGCCAAGATCAGTGTTTTCCAGCATGCTCCATCACCTCCTCTGCTAACCTCGTCTAAAATTATTTTCCTGGTCTAGATCCATGGAAATTTTTTCAATATTCCTTTTATTTTCCTTCATTTTTTTTCCTACTACTGATATTATGTTGCACCAACATTGAAGGCAAAGCTCAAGAAAGAAAATTAGCAGTAAAGGTAGGATGCTAAACCAAATGTTGAAGGGATACAGAGAGAGGCAAAAAAAAAAAGATAATTAATTTACTTGTAGCTCATCCCTCCAGGGATACACATTTTTAAATGTTACCTCTATATCCTATGTAAATATTAAAATCTTGGCCCCCATGGTGAATCCAGACCCTGTTGCCATTCTAATAGTCATGAACTCCTTGGCATCTTGCCCTACCTGGATATTCTTGTGCT